CCATTGATATGCTCACACAAGCCCCTTGGAAGTTTAAAACAGGACATAGAGTAAGTCGGGATAGATTGGGCCACGGACTTAATAAGAACCTCTTTCCCACCAGAGGATAAACACTTCTCCATCCACCCTTGCACCTTCTTCCAAATTCTGTCTTTTAAGTATTTAAACAATCCTTCCTTTGCTCTCCCAACATCCGAAGGCAAGCCAAGATATTTCTCCGTCAAAGATTCATTGTGAACAGCAAGTATGTTTTTGATAGCATCTCGAGCATCGTTCGGCACCCCTTTACTAAAGAAAATGGATGACTTCTCCATATTCACTCTCTGACCCGATGCATTATAGAAGGTCCGTAGTAACTCCTCAATCCGTGTGGCACTTCCTTCTGTTGCCTCAAAGAAAAGTAGGTTGTCATCCACAAATAGTAGATGATTAACTTCCGGTGCATTTGGCGCTACTGTGATCCCCCGAACTCCTGCCTCGGATTTCAACAGACAGGACAGCCCCTCAGCTGCTAGCAGGAACAAATATGGCGAGCTTGGGTCACCCTGGCGCAACCCTCGGAATGGCTTAAACCCATCCAGACTCCTTCCATTGAAAAGCACTGAAAAGGAGACTGATGTCACACATCTCATTACCGTGTTAATAAAGTGGGGACTGAAACCCATCTTGATCATAACAGCTTGCAAATAACGCCACTCCAGGCGATCATACGCTTTCATCATATCTAACTTCAAAGCACAGTATCTATTCCCCTTGACTCTCTAGGTTTTCATGTAATGCAAGCATTCATGTGTTGTGATGAAATTATCTGTGATGAGACGACCAGGGACAAACGCTGACTGCTCTTCGGAAATGATCTTGGGGAGGATTACCTTCAACCTGTTGGCTAAGACCTTTGAAGCAATCTTGTAGACCACGTTGCAAAGACTTATCGGCCGAAAATGTCCTAAAACTTTTGGACTTGCTATCTTGGGAACTAAAACATTGAACGTATTATTTATCTCCTCCGGTGAGCCCACACCATCAAGCACTCTGATGACAATCCTTGTTACTTCTTCACCACAAAGGTCCCAATGTTTCTGAAAGAAGTGTGCCGGAAACCCGTCCGGCCCTGGAGCTTTAGTTGGGAACATTTGAAACAAAGCGTCTTTTACCTCATCCTTTGTATAGACTGCAATCAGCCGGGCATTCATATTGCCATCCACCCTCACCGGTATATGTGATAAAACTTCTTCCATACCTATAGTTCCTTCTGACGTGTATAAGTTGGAGTAAAAAGCCGTGGCCATGTCCGCAAGCTCGACTGGGTCAGTGCACGTAGTTCCATCAATGCGGTCGAGCTGGGTTATACTGTTTTTGGCCCGCCTGGCAGATGCCTTCCTCTGGAAGAACTTGGTGTTGCTATCACCCTCGGATAGCCAAGTGATGCGTGACCGTTGCCTGGCCATAATCTCCTCTCTGTATGCCAATTCAACCATGCGGTCCTCGATCCTTCGTTCCTCGTCGCTAGGCCCCGTGCGCAGCGGGTGTGCACGCAGCGTAGCAAGATGCCGGCGCAGCTGCCGTAGCTCCTGCCGGACCGACCCAAAAGTTGTCCGCCCCCAAGTAGAAAGCGAGGCGGCCACAACCTCAAGGTTGTGCGACAAATCAGCTACTGATGAGGCTGGGCCATTGCCGTTCCATGCAGTATGAACAATATCATTGAAACGGCCATCTCTTTCCCAAGCACACTCATACCGGAACGGTTTCTTCACTGCAATGCGTTGGTTTCCAGCTTCCATCTCATTCATGAGCAAAATTGGGCTGTGATCACTCTTGACTGCTGTGAGGTGTTCCACTCTCGCAAATGGAAAGTTGTGCGACTAGCTTGCCGAAGCTAATGCCCGGTCTAAACATACTCTACAGAAATCTCCTCCCGAAACTCGTTTTTCGAAAGTCCAATCTAGCCCACTATATCCTAGATCAGCCAGCTCACATACATCCACCGCTTCTCTGAAACCCTCCATTTGTGCACTGCCGCGAGGGTTAGGGCCCATCTGCTCCTCCTGACGGAGTATCTCATTGAAATCACCAATACAAAGCCAGGGTAGCGTGCTCTCACCCCGCAACCTTTTCATTGTATCCCATGTTTTATATCTCAAACCCCTGTTGGCCTCACCATAGAAACAAGTAAGGCGCCATTGCTCATGTCCTGGTTCAGAAACCCATGAGTCTATATGATACTACGAGAAATTTTTTATTAACAAGTTCACTTCTGACTTCCAAAAAATACAAAGGCCACCACTACGCCCGTTGCTAGGGACTGCAAAACTATTCTGAAAACCCAAAGAAACCGCCAAACCTTCCACTCGATTCTTCGCCAACTGAGTCTCCACAATGCAAAGAACTGACGGCGCACTAGCCCCCACGAGATCGCGGAGCTCATGGACTATCGCAGGGTCGCCAATCCCACGACAGTTCCAGCATAAGGTCTTCATTGGGCTCGGCGGCTCTCCTCGAGGGAGGCCGCCTCCATTGCTTGACGATTGATCATCTCCTCATCATCCTGCTGCTTCCTCCTCTTGACCAGCGGGTCCTTCTCTGGTGTGGATGTTGTGGCCCTGCTCGAACTGGGCGTAGCTCCTTCAAGTAATTTGATTGTCCCCACAACCTTGCCAGCAAGGTTTGTACTTGGCAGCCCCCCAACCGTGATGGAACCATCCGCTCTCACCAGCCTTTTCCGAACTCCCTTCTCCCCCCATTCAGTGTTGTCTCCCAAAATCTCTACATCCATACCGTGTGTTGCTGGTGGGTTAGTACCGCTGCCTCCCCTCTTCCTCTTCCACCCGTAGCTCTCCCCCAACCTCTCCCACCACGGTCATCCCCACCATCTCTACTTGTCTCCCTGCTCCTTCCCCTCGCTCCGCCATCTCCTCTTCCTCTGACTCCAAAAGTTTGGGCCGGCTGTGTCTCTGGTTCCCACAGCAGCCACTCACCCCATCCAAAAGATCTGGGGTCATGCATCCCATCCCCACACTCATCATCAAGATGCCCCATGAGGCCACATGCAAAACAAAAGTCCGGTAGCTTTTCATAAAGGACGCTATATTTCTTCCTTTCCTTCAAGGTTATGTGGACAAAACGCACTAGTGGCGTATTAATGTCAACAAACACCCTCGCACGCAGGGTATTGGCTGGATTGATACGTCCTTCGTTGACAATTACCTTGAAGGGGGGATCGCCAACCTTCGCCGCCACTTTCTCAGCAAGTTCACGCTTCCTCGTCAATCCATCCGGCAGTCCTTTAACCCGAGCCCAAACTGGTAGCATATTGAGTTTGTACTCATTGACATCCGAGAAGCCATCATACTCCTGAAGAACTACCGGAGCTCTACGAAACAGCCACGGCCCTCCCTCCATAATCTTCCTCCAGTCTCCGAGGCAGTGGCATTGAACCAGAAAAAGGTTTGGTCCTTTGACATTGAACGTGACCCCTTGAGCTGCAGTCCACGCATTGCCCATCTGTGACAATAGCGCTGCATGACTAAAAGGCTTGGTGGTATGAACCCTAAACAATGCAAGCCATCGTACATCCTTAATCAGATCATCCACCTCCGCCGAGAAGTCGAGATCATCTTCCTCTTTCCCGTGGAGCTTCATCCCTGCAAATTGGTTCTCCAGATCCGGATCAGCATCAACATCGTCCCCAAAATCTTCCTCCTCATCTGTCAAGTCCCCCCATCTTCGTCCCCTCCCTGCCCTACCGCCTGTTTCCTTCTCTACTCCCTCCATCCGAACCCTA